AAAAAAAAAAAAAAAAAAACACGTGAAGATGCCAAGGGAACTCAACATCTAATATTTATACATATCTATTGCCTTATATAAATAGTGTCATTTTCCGGCAAAGAGAGTTGCCCCCTCCAAAAGATTTGGCATTTGGTAAGTCTCGTATCAGGCCATAACTATCAAGCTTTAGATTATAGATGGGCTGAGTAAAATTATTGTTGGGCCAGACAAGTACAATTCATATCCTGGAATTACAAAGCCCAAGAGAAGCTAGCTTTGACATTTGGTCAACTGGTGGCTGAGAAATTATTCTGTTTCTTTTTTGTATCTCGTGCATTAATTCCCACCACAATTTTCAGAAACTCTGCTTCACTTCTTCACCTATACTTCATTTCCTTTCTCAAAAATTCCTTACCAAATTAATTCCAATGGATACTCTCTCCACCTCAGTTTCTTCACTCAAAGTTCCAACTCTGCGTAGGAACTCGGCTGACCTTTACTCATCTCATTTCAACTTTCCAAATCACCACTTATTCCCTACTTTCACAAAACCAACTTCAAAAATCTTAAACAAAACCAACTCTTTTATCCAAACCAAGACTTTCAATATCCCTACTTCCGTTCCATGTAAAAATCTACCACTCAAACAATCCTCCTCAAGACATCAAACAACTCATACTAGAGCTTCAAGTGGTTATGCTGCAGCACTAGTCGATATAGCTAAGTGCAACAACTCATTAGAAATTCTTGAAAGGGACGTTATTAAGCTATCCAAATGGCTAAGAAAAGACCCTTTTCTTTTCTTGGAAGATAAAGAAAAAGGGTATGTTCTTAAGGAGATATTGTCAAAGGGGAAATTTCACAAACACTTGGTGGGCTTGTTGAAGCTTTTAGTGGAGAAGAACAAAGTGGGGATAATAAATGAAGTGTTGATGGAATTTGAAAGAATTTATGATGAGGTTTGTGGGGCACAAATTGTGTTGGTTTCATCAGATGTGAAAATGGAGAAAGATAAAATTTTTGGAATAGCTAAGAAAGTACAAGAACTTAGTGGGGCTGAAAAAGTGAAGGTTAAGGTAAGACATTTGGTTGATGATAATAAGAAGAGGTCACGCTTCTCTGCTCTATAACTAATTAACTTTCTATAGTGATAAATTCAAGATTTAAAGTCCGTGTATTCCATTTTGTATATGCGTGCCAGTTTTTTTCATGTCTATGTGTTGAATATATGGTCCAGATCCTGCATGAACGGGAGGTGCTTTGTGCACTGGACTGCCTTTTTTTTGGTTTAATATATGGCGTCTAGTCCGCCACTAACTTATGAAAAATGCTCTAAACTATGGTCAGGTGTAATGTTTAGATTGTAATTGCTGTATAGTTTGGAGCTGCAAAGGTTTCACCTTTGTGAATGATAGGTAACATATTGCACTTATGAATGATGAAAAGCCAAAAAAATTATATGAATAAATGTACAATTATAGTATTTTGCTTAGAGTGCAAACTTTACACAAATAGCCGGCTGAAATCACTATTTACTTTTTCTGGTCGGTATACATAGATTATGTTCTGATTTTACACGATTATACATGAATTATATTATTATACTTCTGCCAGCTATTTTTAGCTTAAACGGCTGGGTGGACGGCTATTTAGGTTAATTTTCTATTGGGGTGCGGTCCCACTTATAGTATTATATTGAATTTGTTATTGTTGGGTTGCGTGATATACACTTATTCGATAAAAGTGATCAAACATTAAAGAGGTATGTCATGTAAAAAGTTGCCCGTGAAATTGGGGTGTGTCATAAGAATTTGTGTAACTCGTTCTCTGATCTAATTTAAGTTTATTTATCAAACAAATAATGTTCAAATTCTTTGTACAAATTTTCCAATTAGGCACATACTTACACTTTAAATATGTGAAATCAACATCAATTTCCCACACAGGCTACCAATTATCTTTTACAATCTTAAATCTTTCGAAAACAAATTTTCCTTCTTTGTATTTCTGGCTTTCATCATATGCTCTTTCATATTTCCATCCTAAAACTTCCCCACAATCAGAACACTTAACATCTGCCACAGTATGCAAACCTGTCATTAGGTGCCGATCTTCCTTCTGCCCTATTACTACATTCATGGCATGTGTAAATAAATAAGCTCTCCCTGTTCTTGCCTGTCTTTCACAAAATACTGTGTCATAAATAAAGACGGACATAATACGAGTTCAATAAGTTCAACTGAACTCAATATTGTTTTACACAAAACACAGAAATATGTACGCGAAAAACAATTACTTACTAAATTTTTTAACAAATTTCAAATGCTGAACTTGTAATTTCAAAACTATAATTGAACCGGCGTGAGAACCTCAAAGATTGAACCTCATCATAAACAAAGGCAGATGTAACATAAGTTCAATGCGTTCAACTGAACTCAATGTCAGGGGAGGAAATAGGGAGGGCGTACGGGGGTTCATCTTTACCCCCTTCGCCAGAAAATCACATCGTATATACGAGATCAAAATTTTGTTTTATGTATATATATTAGCTGTTGAATCCCCTTGGTGAAATCTCGCCTCTACCATTGCTGACAACAACAACTCAGTGTAATCCCACAAAGTGGGGTTTGGGGAGGATATTGCGTAAGCAAATCTTACCTCTACCTTGTGAAGGTAAAGAGGTTATTTCCGATAAACCCTCAACACTAGAAGAGATGAAAAAGAAGCCGAAACAACAAAACAGTAACAACAACCGAATGTGAATGATCACTAAAATTTTAAAAAATATTAACTTCTAAACTCATAAATTTCAAAAGTTTAAGGGTTTCATGGCGTAAGAACTTAAAAGGTTTGAACCGTCAAGTTCAAACAGAAAAAAGGAAAAAAAAGAGAAGCTTAAGATTAAGTGAAAGAAAATTCATAACCTGAAAATTTTTGGAGACGATATCATCATGAAAAGCAATGTGATTTCTGCATTTACAGCAACTGTATATCCGTGGGCCAACTAATCCTTCTTCCATATGTTAGAAAAAATTGAATGGTCTCTCAAAAATGGAGGATCTTGTAGTTGGAAGCAAGTAATAAGTATGATTATTTTTTTTAAAAAGTGTGATTAATAGTAATTGAATTCGTTTGTAGAAAGATTTGTTGTTTGCTTGAAGCAAAAGCTTTCTTCAAGTTGCTGGCATCAATAATTAGACTGAAAATGAGATGAAAGTGAACGAATTAATAAGAAATTGAAACGCTTGATTGAAGATTTCTAAATTAAACAAGTAGTAGTAGGCTGCAATCAACCACCATTAGATAAAATAATTAGGTGTTGATAAGGATGAGATTAGTCACAATTTAATTTTCCCCTTGTTCTAGATAATGATTAATCTCATTATTATAACTTACAAGTAGTAGTAGCTAGTAAGTATATAAATTTAAATTCTTTACAAAAATAGCACCATGACGTTGCTACTGCCATGGTCCAAGAAACCTTTATTCTTTATTATTATATTATTCCTAAAAAAGAAAAATATTGAACGCGATAAAGAACTAATTATAGGTTGAACAAATTAATTAAAAGCGAAAACATAAGCTTGAATTAATGATTAAATTCAAAAGTAGCGAAAATAAAACAGTGGGAATTTCAAAATAATTTGGAATGTCTTATAGTGAGTAGTGGGGCGAAGTGCACCGGTAGCAACTTTTAAGCATGCTGTTTAAATATATTCATATTTTATAATTTATTTAAAGATTAGTCAATTCACCTAAACTTTAGAATTAATAACATGTTTGACCAAGCTTCTCAAGATGCCAAAAGTGTTTTTTTTCTTCCCAAAAATACTTTTTTCCCCCTAACTTGAGGTGTTTGACCAAGTTTTTTTGGGGAAAAAAAGTGATTTTGGGAAGAAGCAGAAAAAAATAGCTTCTTCCCAGAAGCAGGAGCAGTATTGACTTTTCTTCTTACCAAAAATACCCTTAACAAAATATAGTATATACCAAAATAACCGTTAAACCTAATACTTAGGATATTAATGTATAAATATTTTTTATTATTTATAGGATAGCTTTCTAATATATAGTGACTTTAGGGGTGTATGCTTTTATATTTGTTGAATGATTTTTAATATATTTAACTTATATTAAAATAATTAAGAATTTTTAAATTTTATTTTCACATTTTACTTAAATAAAATAAAAAGATTTAATTATTGCATGTAATAACTAATTTTTGAGACTATTTATTTACTTATAATATTAACTATTAACTAAATCTATTCATGTCCTTATTCGTAATTTGATACTTAAAAGCACTTTCTGAAAAGCTTGGCCAAACACAAATTATTGCTCAAAAGTGTTTTTCAGAGTGATTAGCCAAACACAATTGATTATCTCCAAAAATACTTTTTTCAAAAACACTTTTGAAAAAAGACTTCTCAAAATAAGTTGATTTCTCCAGCTTGGCCAAACATGCTATAAGTATCCTGAATTCCAAATTCAGGACTTAGTGTCCTCAATTTTTGAGCTGCTAATTTTAAATTCAAGACTAAGTGTCCTGAATTTCTGAGCTGCTAATTTAAAATTCAAGACATAAGATTCAAACTTTTGGACATAATTTTCGAACTTTAGGACATGTTGTCCTAAAGTTTGAACTTTGAGGTTTAAACTTTAGGACGTCGTGTCCTGAAATTTGAGCGAATTGACTAATCTTTAAATATATTATAAATTATGGATATATCTTAAACAACATGCTTAAAAGTGCCTCCATGATGTCATTTTCACCGAATAGTGATATCTAACTATCTCTGAAAATTACACATATCTTTGTGGTAAGAACATATATCGCATCCGTATCCGGTGTTTATACCAAACCAATAATAATATGACATGGCGTAAACCGTAAACGCCGAGTACAAATAAATTTTTACCAATCTCTAATGTAGATTCAGTCAGTGCGTATCACTCAAAAATCAAAACTCTTCTGCTAGGAAAATAAAACAGAAAGAAGAGAAGAACACTGCAATAGATGCATAGTGACTAATTGACTATGATGAGATATGTATTTGGCCATATCTACCAGGCCAAAGAAATACTAATTACTTTGAAAATTATAAACTTGATTGCATAAAATGAAAGTGGAATAATTTCCTTATAGGCTTTTATGCTCTTATCGTCAACTTTCGTGACTTTTTGCTCGTTTGGTTTCATTATTTCATTCGTGATTCTCTCTTTCAGGCTTCTTCGTATCTTGTGGATTTCTTCTCATTCCGTTTTCTGTCATAACAAGTGTAATTATGGTCAATATTTTGACTAACGGAGTCCATCTCACATAAACATAAGTATCTTTGTAAAGTGTAAACTTTGTTGTCAATATTCTTTGGGACCCAAAAATATTGCATTGTGTGGTGGACATCATTTGCACAAGTTGTATCTCTTCTTTTTTTTACATCTAAGAGGCCAAGATTTTTTTGCTTATAAAATGGAAGGCCATTAGTTCATTTTATACTTACCAACAAGACTTGAGTCTTCATTTCTTGTTTCTTCTTTTCCTCCTTTATTAAGAGTGTTTTGTATGAGAGTTAGTGTTGGGAAGCACTTGTGTGACCCCTTTCTTTGGAGTGATCTTGTGAGTTTATTCTCTTAGAGTATTTGGGATTAATTAGAGCGTTTACTCTAATTTTGTACTCTCTTTTGTACTCTTGTTGGTATAGTGAAATTGCTTCTCTCCGCTTGTGGACATATGCCACTTTGACCGAATCACATTAAATTTGTGTCTTCTGTATATGCTTTAATTGGCCGTTGTTATCAACTTACATTGTCTTTGTTATTGTCATTATACCGTTGTTTGGCTAAATTTCGCACTACGCGGTTCCGATCCTAACAACAAGTTTTATTTTCAATCTATTCTTGTCTGATTAATAGAAACATTGACAAAAAAAATAAGAAGAAAACAATTAAAAGTTCCGCTTGTTGGAAAACGGATAAAATGTATTTGCGGTGAACGTGGATCGAACACGTGACCTTCAGATCTTCAGTCTGACGCTCTCCCAACTGAGCTATCCCCTCTGATGTTGCATTTAATACAAAAGTGAAAATTTGATATAGATAACTAAGAATACCATGGCCTTTGTCTTTTTAAAGCTGAGGTATTAAGATATTGTCTCTGAATCTGAATATTAAATAATTATTAATATTATTTATTTTCTAAAACTCAAAAAAAGAAATTATGAACTAAATTATTGGAGTACCATTTAAAAAAGAGAAATAGAATAATAATAACTACACTTCAATCTCAAACAAGTTCAAACCGCTATATGAATCCTTATAATCTGTGTTTCTGCTTTTAAAATCATCTCACACCAATATTGTACAACAGAAAATAAAAATACTCGAAATTCTTTATATATTTGCTACTTGAATAAAACCTCTGCTAGGGTTAAAAAGACTCTTACAAAGCATAGGACTTAAAGTAAATGTGCTAACATGATTAAATCATATTCCCAACTAATTGATACCGTCTTTTTCTTTCATTTATTACTCTATGTATTTGGGCTATATTTATATGGATTCAAGAGATTATAAGTGTTTCAAAACAACTTTCCTTTCATTTAATTTTTAATTTGCTTTGTCTTTTTAATACCTTCATTCACCATGATTTCACCCTTATGCATATGGGCAAAGCTACATTGCCTTGAGGGTGGTCAGTTAACCATCCTTTATTAAAAAATTACACTGTGTATATAAGTAAAAATATTAAGTTTTAGATGTGTATAATATATATTGAATACCCTTTGTCAGAGATTTTTTTTTCACTTCTTTCAAGTTTGAACATTCTTGGGAAAATTCTTGGCTTCGCCCTTGCTTACGCACCCATGCATATGAAAGTTCGACATAAGATATGATCAAATCACTTCAAGCTACTCTCATTTTATCATCAAGGTATGTTACACCTTTTCATGAGTGCGATCATTTTACACTTAAAAAAAAAATGTAAGATGCACAAAATTTATGTAGTATAATACTGCTTTGAATTTGTCAAGGCCAAAAGGCTAGTTACCTGCTTCCCTTTTCCTGAGGTCATGAATGACTTGGGTATATATCTACTTCCTATTAAAAAACCTTCGAAAATTTCAATACTAGTAGCTTAAAATCCATATAATCTAAGAAAAATGACACTATATAGCCGTTATAAAAATAATAGCCGAAAAATGTATAAAATTTGTATATATTTTGTATATATATACATTCTATATGTTATATACAAAAATTATACAAGTTTTATATACTTTTTCGGCTACCAAATATAAATAGTTTCTGTCACGGGCTAAAAGTGATAATACCCTATAATTAACTAATGTGGTTGACTTGCAACTTATGCTAACAACACAGTTTTCTTAGAATAATACTTTCTTCATCCTATTTCATAGAAATTTTTATTGTATAATTATAAATCATCTTAATAAGGTTAAAATGAGAAGTTTAAAAGTTCAAATTGCAACAAAAGAAATATAGAGGGGGCAAATAGTAGTATTGGTCAAATTTTGACGGGTTAAAATAGATCAAATTAAACGAGACATGATCCAAATCATCTAATATTTTCTTGTATTAAAACAAGTAGGATCAAATAAAATAAACCTAATTCCCCAGCACAAGCCAACCTCTCTCCTTTCTAATTAATTTTGCTATTAATTTAATTTTGACCGAGAAGACCAAAAATCATAGACCCCACAAAGCCAGAAACCTAACTCAGCCATTTTTTCTCTACTACAGTAATTTATCTTCACCCCTTAGCATATTTCCTCCAAAATTAACAGTCCCTCACAAAAGCTAAAGCTGAAAAAGAAAAAGAACCAAACATGCAGACTCATCATCAGTCATCGTCACGTTATGGATTTTATTAGTATAATAATATATAGTACATCTTTTTTCCATTGGTAACAGTTGTTGAAACGTGTCCATTTGCATGATTAATCAAACATTTGCTAACGTGATTCTCTTCAAGAACAGAACGGAGAAGATGACAAAAAGAGTGGAGATGAATGAGATCAAAGCATGGTAAAATTCACAATAGGTTGCTGCTGCTGTAATCTTTGATTTCCTCTTTTTATTTTTTTCATTTGGTTTTTACAATAACAACAAATTCAGTGTAATACCACAAGTTGGGTTTGGGGAAGGTAAATGTATGAAGACCTTATCCCTACCTTCAAAAAGTCAAAGAGGTTGTTTCCGGAATACCCTCGACTTAGAAAAAATAAAAGAAGAACAACAGCAAGCACACCAATAAGAAAACCAAAGCAAAATACAAAGAAACAAAACAAACACTTTTGGTTTTGAGATTGTTAAAATTGTTACTTATATGCTTTCATTGTTTATTTTGCATTTTTTGGCCCTCACATTTAGTAGAGAAGAATGAATTAAATTATTGGAGCATTTGGAAAAGGAAATACAGCAACTATGTATAGGGTAAAATATGTTATATTAAATGATATAAAGAAGTGACACATGGAGTCGAAAGCAGAGGATAACTAAAACTGAAGGCAACTATTCTGTCTGTTACCAGAAAGAATGATACTCATAAAGATGAAATAAATGCATGTCCCCGGTAATATTTAATGAAGAATATTCTATAGCATTTAGTACACTGCCCGTTACAAAGAATATGACATTCATGCTCGTCGTTACACATTCTTCAATGGCCCTCATAATTGACATTAAAGAAGGGCTTGATCCTAGGACCTTATTTCCTAGGTGCAACTATAAATAGTGAGTTTTATTAACATTGTAAGGGACACAAATTTTCTGGCAAACTTACGCTACACTCTATTCAAAACTTTATATAATTTTATCTTCTTGCTTTTTGATTTCATTGCTGTTGTGCCCGGAAGCTCTGCTCCCGGAACTATTATTTTTGTTACTTCATCTCCATCTCAAGGCTAAGTATTGCATATTTATCTAATTCTTCTATTATCTCACGATCAAATTAATTCACCTGTATAGAAATCACGCATAAATTAAATTGTACCGTTTTACGGGTAAACAGTTTGGTGTCCACTGTGGGGCCTTGACAGTCGTGTAATTAAGTTGGTCCTTGTCTCTTTTACTAACATATTTTGATTATTTGTTATTAGAAAAAAATCACAGAAAATGGCAGATAATGGTATTAACAACACCCACAATCTTAAGGCCCAAGGAAACTAGCCTCAACACGAGGATTCAATCAGTGATACTCGCAATGAGGGGAATAATGCCACGCCAGTCCACGGCAGGCGGTACCCGTGACATGTTCGGGAGGTGACTCCTGATGATGCTGAAAAGGAGCATGTTGTTGAAGCGGTAGGGGTCCTGCAGGAGCAACAAGAGGTCATTCTAAGCCATCTCACACGGCATGATAAGGTTATGGCAGAACTAAAACTGGCATTATTGGGTTGCTTCCAATAACGCGAATGGGGGAGGTCCAGTTCCTCCCGGTACTCCCGCAAATCAATCAATGCAGAGGATCAACAAAAATACCTCGAGGGGCGAGGCTGGCTTCGATGGGGCCGGGGGAGCGGATCCGATCCTAAAAACGAGAGCGATTTCTTCAAAAGCGAACTCATACGGTTTCTAAGGGAAGTGAACGCCCGCATGGACCAAATACCGGGTGCACCACCGGTGCTGAAAGGGCTAAACTCAAAGAAGTATACTTAATTGTCGTACAAACCAAGCTCGGTACCCGAATTGATCCCGAAGAGGTTTAAAATGCCTGACGTGCCAAAATGTGATGGGACTTCGGACCCTCAGGAGGATATTACCACCTATACAACAGTGGTGAAGGGGAACGATTTAGCTCCCCACGAGATCGAATCAGTTTTGCTGAAAAACTTCGGAGAGACTCTCACGAGGGGAGCCTTGACGTGGTATTCGCAGTTACCTGAGCATTCAATAGATTCCTTTGAGATGCTCACGGATTATTTCATTAAGGCTCATGCTGGGGCAAGAAATGTGCAGGCTCGGAAGATCGACATATTCATAATTGTACAAGGAGAGTCTGAGTTTCTACGGGAATTCATAACCCGGTTCCAGAAGGAAAGGATGTTGCTCTCGGCTGTTCCGGGTGAATGGGCGGCTGAAGCATTCACCAAGAGTTTGAATACGAGAAGTTTCGATGCTTCCCGAAAGCTAAAGGAAAGCTTGCTCGAATTCCAAGCGATGACTTGGGCGGATGTTAACAACCGGTACGAGTCAAAGATAAGGATTGAGTATGATCATCTTGGCTTCACAGCGTCAGCTAAAGGTCGGGAGAAGAATAAAGAGAAATCAAAAGATAATTTTGACATAGATAGATGGTCTTCGAGTGGTCAGCTTTTACCCTATGAACGGGACGAAGGACGCGGTAGAGGTTTCTGGACTACAAATAGGTTTGCTACTGATAGAAGAACTGATCGCGGAAGAAACAACAGATCACTACAGGACAAAGAAACATTAGGTTCTCGAGATCCTTCCTACCCAGACTTTCAGAATACAACTTCAATGTCAATGTAGTAGAGTTGTTATCGGCTATGAGAAACATTAAAGAAGCACAGTTCCCGAAGCCGATGAGGTCCGATCCCAGCCAGAGGGATCCTAATTTGTGGTGCGAATACCACGGGATGAACGACCATCGGACTGGGGACTACCGACATCTGCATGAAGATGTGGTGACACTACTGAAAAATGGCCATCTCAGGGAATTCATAAGTGACCGGGCCAAAAATAATTAAGATCGTAACCATGATAACACGAAGCCCTCAAAAGCAGGAGAGATCCACCGCGCCAGACGATCAACATGATTTTCGGGGGGAACGAGACTAACGGGGTTACCTTCTCGGCATCAAAAAAGACTAATGTAATAGTAACCCACAACAAGAGGCTCCGGGAAGTCGCTGAAGACGACATCTCTTTCACGGAGGAAGATGCAGACAGATTATTGCTGTCGTTTAACGATGCATTGGTAATTTTTTAAAATTTATTAGATTTTAAAATTAAACGTATTCTGATGGATCCAGGGAGTTCAACCAACATTATACAATAGAGGGTATTGGAACAAG